AAATAAGAGGAAAAGAAAGAAGAAAAAAGAAGGAAAGAGAAGAAAAGGAAGGGGGATGAAAGAAAAGAATTGAAGAACAGTAGTGAAGGAGGACAGGAAAAGAGAGTGAGAGTGGTGGAAGAAATGGTATTGATTGGTACAGTGCTAAGGCCATGCCTGTAACTCAAGGATTTTGAGAGGCTGGGCTGAGTCGGTTCCTCAAAATGAGGAGCTCCTTACCAGCCTGAGCAAAGCTAGACTCTACCTGTGCCATATAGGAAGAGAAAGAAAAGACTAAAAAAAAAAAAAAAAAACAGGAAGGAAAAATAAAATTGAAATGAAAAAAGATAGAAAAATTCTGCAGTGGACTTGCTTATACTGTCTTGCCAGCACCAAAGGTAGAAGGAATCCCTAGACCATGATTTCTTGGCCACCTTGAGCCAGACTATTGCCGTGACCTCCCCACCAGACCACAGACAGGCCACTCCAGCTCTCGGCGAGAAAAGAAAAAATGGTAATAAGAAGAAGAATAGGTAATAAAAATTAAAAATGCAGTTGTATCTAAATAAAGGAGAGAGAAGAAAGAGGAAAAAGGAGAGAAAGAAGAAAGACCAAAAAAAAGGAGGTGAGATCTCAGCTGTTGTATGAACAATTTATGTGGGAAAGATGAGAAAAGTATAAGAGTCTTTATCAAAAGAGACATGGAGAAGAGTGAAATAGGGAGAATAAATGAGGCTTAAATATCATAGCCATAAGTATAGAAGCCCTTGCTCTTGACGAAAGTAAAAATGGAAGTTAAGAATAGAACCAATCCAATAAAATAGCAGAAACAAAACCCAGCAAAACAAAACAAAAGTTCAAATAGCCAAAAACAGCAGCAACCTTAGCAATAAAGAAAAGAAGGAAGAAAAAGATACTAAAAAAGAGAAAAAATGTATTTATATATTTACATATATATCAAAAATACATATATATATTAGAAAGGACCAACTTTAATGTATATGTATATACATACATATATATTGCTAGGACACCAAGTGGCACTGTGGGGTTTTCTTTTTTTTTTTACAGGGACAGGGAACCCAGCCAGCAACCTCTCTCTGTTCCCTAGCATGATCCTGGTTCCCAACTTAGTTGTCCTTAGTGATTACCTGATTGTTTCCTCAGCATTCAGACCTGGGTTGGGATTATAAACCTCTCCAGAGTCCTTCAGAGGCAGGGCTCACTGTGTCCCATGATAATACTTCCTGTGGGGTGTGGGAGTCCCTCAGCCTGTCCCAAGAGTGGAGTTTTGTTCTCAGCAGGCCAAAGACAGCCGTGCTTTAGGCTTCTGCTCAGAGGCCCCACCTCATGACCTTCTCACAGTCTTCCCACAGTGGCCGTCCCCTGGCAACTGGGACCTTACCAGCATGGCTGTCCCGCCAGCCACCAAATTGATGGTAAATCCTCTCCAGCTGTTACTCAAACCTGGCTATTGTATACTGTTCAAGTCCGCCTACTCTGAAAACTGCAGAAAGTTGTCTTCCCATCCTGGACCTCCATGTGGGAGGGGTGGGGGCAGCTATTCTCCCCAACTCCCAGTCACTTGCCTAGCCAGTCAGGTCTCTACTGAGCCGATTCACACACTTGTCTTCTGTACACCACCACCTCATGATACACCCTTAGCTACAACCTCACCTCAAGGAGGTGATTCTTGAACTGAGATTTGAGTAAGAGCCACACAGCTGACAAAGGATAAGGAAAGGTTTCATGACAGAGGAAACAGCATGTTCAAAGGCCCTATGGTGGGAGGGAGCTTAGGTGTAGGCAAGGCCTGGAGAGAAATCCAGTATGGCTGAAATGAAGAGCCTGAAAAGAAATTTTGATAAAACTGTTTTACATTTTGATTTTGGTGGCATTTACACAGTTGTATATATTTTTCAAAACTCAAAACAGTTCCCTGTGAGTTTTATCTTAATAAAATAAATTGAAAATAAGCACCTATTCTAAACTTCTTATGAAATTATGTTTAAGATTTAGTATTGTATCCTAACTTCTATTTTTTTGTTTCATTTCTTAAAATTATCATCAAGGTATAGTTTACATTTAGTAAATTCTTCTGTGTCCCTTGTCTGTGGCAAATCACTGATCTATTTTCTGTCTCCATGATTTCACCTTTTCCAGGATGTCATATAAAGTGACTCATGCAGTAGATATTTTTTTGTCTGTCTTATTTCAGTTAACATAATGGATTTGAGATTCATTCATGTTCTATCATCAGTTCAATCCTTAAAATTGCTAAGTAGTGTTCCATTGTACGGATATATCACAATTTGTTTATCTATTCCCCAGTTGAAAGATATTTAGATAATTTCCAGTTTTTAGGTTTAACTGCATTTTTAAAAATTATAATAGTAATACATACCTATAGGGTAAAGATACAAGCATGATTATTGAAAGTGAAATGTACTCCCTCATCCCTCTTGTCTGTTTCCATCCCTAGGTGTAACTGCTCTTATAGTTACATTTTACAGACAAACCAACACACATGTATAGAATTGAAGGAGGGCATTTTTCAGATTATAATGTATATTTTGCTTTGCAGCTTGTATTCTTTGCTGAATACAGAAACTTTTATACCTGCTTATATAGATAAATCGTAGTTTTTTAACATTGGTATGAGATTCTGTGGTGTAATATATTAATTCAGTTGACTGGTCCTCCATTGTTGAACTTCTCATTATCTCTACTTTTTCCATGTTACAAATAATTCCACTGAATTTTTATATAAAAATCTTGATTATATTGATTGAGCATTTCTGTAAATTTCTAGAAGTGGAATTACTCAAAGAGAGTATGTGCATTTAATTTTTTTTATATACTATTCAGTTGCCTGCAAATAGGCTGTACCAACTTGTGCTTTCAAAAATAGTATATGGTAATGCTGGGTATGTTTGAAGATGTATATTGGAAGCTTTTTGTCTTAAAAAGATTTATTTTCAGAAATCCCTCATGGAGTAGCAAATTGTATTTTCTATTCATAGATATCTCTAATCAACGGTGTCTTATTAAGAATTAAAAATAAGATTATTCTCAGTCAAATAACTATATAAGCATATTACATAGTATATTTCACCGTAATACTATGGTATATTGATTTCTAAAGAAGGCACTATGAAAAGTTTAGTTACTAATGAGTGTCATTTCCATTTTAACTATTATAGCTTAACTGGGATTTTTTTTAATTGCCAAAAAAAAATCATAAATCTATTGTGAATTTTTCCCCCAGTCTGAAGATTATTATGACATGAGGCGACTGTATACAATTGTGGGGTCTTCTCTATTTTACAAGGTAAGTTAAAGCTTGAACTCTTTCTAGATGTACAACTGTGATATAAACAGACTTAAAGTAAATTTTCTCAAACTTTTGCATATTTAAAAAATACATTTATCTCTTCTCTTTTAAATGCAGGTACCATTAAATTAAGATCTTTTCTTTCTTTCTTTTATTTATTTATTTATTTTTGAAACAGAGTTTCATTCTGTTGCCCAGGCCAGAGTGCTATGGTGTCAGCCTAACTTACAGCAAGCTCATAGTCTTGGATTCAAGCATTCTTCCTGCCTCAGCCTCCAAAGCAGCTAAGACTGCTTATAGCCGCCCTCCACAATGCCCTGTTAATCCTCCTATTTTTGTTTTAGTAGTGATGGTGTCTCGCTTTTGCTCAGACTGGTCTCAAACTCTTGATCTTAAGCAATCTATCTGCCTTGGCCTCCCTGAGGGCTAGGATTATAGGCATGAGCTGTCACACCCAACCAGATGAAGATCTTGAAACAAGACTTGTACCTACATATGTATAAATACAAGAAATATTTATGGTCTTATTATACTCTTAAAGTATTTACAGATGTTCAAAGTAAATACTCAAAGAACCAAGTATGTAAGACAGAAGAGCAATACTTTTCTTGATTTCCTTTTGCAGTAGTTTATTTTTTAACCTATCTTCAGATATAACTGCACATTTTTAAAGTAAATCTTTAACATTTAATTGACTTACATGTAAAGCAAATTAAACACACAATAAATTTAAATATTTTTATTTTCAAATAAAATCCTTCAACCCTATTTAAAACACATCTAGCAAAAAATCAGGCAATCCAGAAGGGTATATACAGTGAAAAGTCAGTCTCTTCCTACCTTGACCCCTACTTCTCCACTTTTCCTTTTCAGAATTTAGTTCTTTTCTAATTTTGCCAAACTCCCAACCTGTTCTACACAGGAGTGGTCTTGCTTTGTGCTTAAGTTTGCTTGTTGGGTCCCTAGAGATCATTTGATCTCTAGTTCAACTTTAGGAAAAAATATTTATTTTTGCTATTTGTTCATTTGTCCCTTTGAAACTGGAATATTTTAAGCCAACTGAAGAAGTGTTTATAAAACCTCTTAGAAATGGCTCAGCACCCATAGCACAGTAGTTATGGCACCAGCCACATACACTGAAGCTGGGGGGGTTCAAGCCCAGCCCGGGCCTGCTAAACAACAATTACAACTGCAACATAAAATAGTGGGGCTTTGTGGCTGGTGCCTATAGTCCCAGCTACTTGGGAGGCTGAGGCAAGAGAAGCACTTAAGCCCAAGAGTTTGAGGTTGCTGTGAGCTATGACGCCACGGCACCCTACCAAGGGTAACAAAGTGAGTCTCTGTGACACTCTCCAAAAAAAAAAAAACAACAACTCTTAGAAATATATTATAGGATTATTGCTTTGTACCACTAGTTGACTTTTGCTCTTTGTGGTTAAATTGAAGGGTTATTTGATATGCAGCCATTTGCCTAAGGATGATCTCGTTGATATTGCTGTATACTGTCGCCACTATTGCTTGCTGCCTTTAGCAGCAAAACAAAGAATCGGTCAGTTGATAATATGGCGAGAAGTGTTTCCTCAATATCACCTCCAACCTTCTGCAGACTCAAACACTGAAGTCTTTCAGGAACCTGAAGGGAGATATTTTTTGTTAATTGTTGGATTGGTAAGTTTACTGTGGCTTCTTTCTTGGAATTTTCCTTTCTTTTTCTTTTTTTTTCTGCCATCTATTGACTGTCTAAATACACAAACAAATATTCTTGTTTAAAATTATGAGTATGTCTCATACCAGTACTCAAGAAGATATTATATGCCCTTCTACTGCTTTTCTTTTGCAATAAGAAATATTAATAATTAAATCTAGGAAAAGATTTTAACAGCTTCTTAAGATCTTTTGTTCCCCTTTCTATAATGGTTTTATCCTCTGACTTGTTTTGGGAAACAGAAGGAGACATGAAAAGAATATAACATCAGAAACAGAATGACATGTAATTGTAAATGAAAGGACTGCCAATAATCAAGGCTTTTTTACAGCTATCTTGGTTAGGGAATTTTGTGTGCCAAGAGAAGTGGTTAATGGTATATTAAAATCTTTTCAACTGGGACTAATAAGCATTGATAATAACCAAGAAGGAATGGGGAGGGAGGAATTTTTAATAATCATCATGTAATTATGCCATATTCTCACATCTTTAGTATTCATAAATTTATACATGTACATTATACGTAAATATTTTAATGGTAGCTAAATCTAGATTAATAATTTTTTCTTACAGAGACATTATATGTTATGCGTACTGTTAGAAGCTGGAGGCTGCGCATCCAAAGCTGTTGGGAATCCTGGACCAGACTGTATATACGTGGATCAGGTCAAAACAACTCTTTATCAGCTGGAAAAAGTAGTTTCTCGCATAGATGAAAGGCTAGCATCTTCTCCAAACCCCTGTTTGTCTTGTGCTGACTGGTTCCTTGCTGGATCACATGAAAAAATAGATAATTTGACCACTTCACCTATTCTCAGTAGGCTACCAGGTGCTTCTAAAGTAGCAACCTCCCCTACATGCAGAAGAACCCTTTTTGGTGACTATTCCTTAAGGACACGTAAGCCCAGTCCTTCCCGAAGCAGTGGAGTGTCTGACAATGGTTGTGAAGGCGGAGAAGGTATTGGCCTTACCCTCCATACCACACCGGATATAGTACGGAAGCAAAGAGAATCTCAGGGCTCTGATGGTTCAGAAGTAAGTGGTGCCTTGTTTAAGGTGTGTGTTCATTCAAATGTTTATATTCCGGGAGCTAAGCTATCTGTCCAATCCTTATAATTGCAAGAGAAATTTTTAATAATATATTATTCCTTATTTGAAATGGTGGTTGTGTCAGTCACTATTGGCAAACCAATTATTTAGAACCCAGAAGAAAAAAGAAATGTGCAAGTAATAAGACAGGAGCCCCTTGACATCCAGGATATCTGTTTAATAGTACTTCTGGGTAGTGAAACTCTTTAATATTACTTTCCATGTTCATCTCTCCCTTCTCTATTTACAATGATAACAGAGAACATCTTAGCTGTGGGGCCTTTGGGGGCCTGATCTGACTAAATAGCCAATAAAATGTTTGGCAGAAACATAAAGAGAATCAGAACCTAAGAATGTGTATGTTTTCCATTTTTTATAGATGAAGTTTTTGTGTTTTTTTGTTTTTTTTTAAATCTGTCCCTGTGAAGTTCTGGTGTCCATACTCAAAGAATCAAAATGTACCTATAAAGCAAAGAAGATGTTCATTTTTTAGATTATTCATAATTTTTCTTAATTGTTTTCCATGAAAATACCATAAAATATCCAATAGATTATCAAAGTGATTGCTCTGGGAGGTTTTGTACTTATTCTAGTGATGCTCCTGTCTTTCAAAACAGGGTGGGGTGGGTGGAGGTGATACCTTACAAGGCATGAAGAAGAAAGAATCTGAAAGGGGGCACAAATAAAATATGAGATTCTGAGTGGCATGGCATAAATAACTATAAATTCAATCTCCTGCTTCTAAACAATAGTGTGTTCTTGGAGTCCTAGGTGGAATGTAGTTAAGAAGTACTCAAATTATCCCAGTCAGTGAAATTGGTAAGAAATGTGGTCTAAGAGGATTTGGACAGATTTAAGAATTACAAAGCCATGAACAACTCCCAAGAGAAATTGAGTTAACCTTTAAGATTCAGCCATTCAATAAACAAACGTTTGAACACCTACTACAAAAAAGACACAGAGATGAGTAAGACCTGGCCCTTGACTTTAAGGAATGCAGAGTCAGAAAGGGAGACAGGTACACATACATGTAAACTTGGTGAAGTCTCCATAATGACTCTGGAGAATGGTTTCAGGGGAAACCACCATCCCCTTCCATGAAATGGCTCTGGGATCCCTGTTAGCAAAAAGATAAGCCAAGAACTACAAATTGGCCTTAAAAATGTTTAAAAGAATCATTACAAAATAGTAAATAGTTCTTAGAAGAATTTTTAGTTTTTAAATTATTTTTGCTGTTTGATTCCATTCTTAGTTGTAAATTGACCCACTTAACTGTATTTTACAGGTCACTAAAAAGAAGTCTCCTCTTCCAAATCCATTTCATTTGGTAAACTTGAAAAAGGACCTTCCAGAAAAAGAACTGGAAATACATAGCACAATGAAGTGAGAAATTTCTTTATAATATTCTTTTCAATTAACCTCTTTTTTGAAAGAAGTGTTATAATGAGAAAACACACTTTCATAACATATAGAGATTTTATTCAACAAATGACATTATGATGTATTGTATGTAATAACAGTAATACCTATGGTATTCCTGTAATATTTCATAACACATTTAGGTAAATGACTATATTAGCATAGTAAGAGATAAAAGCACCCTGAGTAATATTTGAAAATGTGAAACATTTATCTCTCTTCCACAAACCTCCCTTTTGAATGTCTAATGTAATTTTGAATGATAAAATTTTAAAATTTCAATTCAAATTTTAGTTAAGTTAAAAATTACTATTTTTAGACTCTCTAGTGGATGCAGTGGTATGCTGCCCAGTTATCCCTTAGCCCAGGGTACTCATTCCCAGCATTTTGGGAGTGATGGTTGCTAATGCCTTGCCACAAAGCTAAATCCCTCCCCTGGCTGTCTCTGACATGGTAGTTTGTTGACTTAGCTAAGGTTACAGTCCTCTCTGGGAGTAACCCACTTTTAATGACTAATAGATAAGTGAGTACAAAGGCTTGGCCCCTTGCCTAAATTCAAGATGACTCTGAAAGGCCATTGAAACTTTAGAGTTCTCAGTAGTATCCACTGCACCCCTGTTGCAACCTCAGCGCAGTTCCACTTCTCCCTCATCTTAATCTTGCTTCAGTCACACTACCCCTACAGCTATTTCTCCCAAGAGTGCTCCCTAATAAACTTTATCTCTGTATATCTCCCTCTCATAGTTTGGGTTCCAGGGAACAGGTCCTGTAATACCCAATTTAGGAAACAAGTAAAGCCTCAAAATTTACATTGAGTAAAGAATTCTGAAATGAAGGGAACCTAATGAGGAGAGAATGTTTACCAACTTAAATTGTCTGTAATTATTACAACATGAGGTGCTATGTATTCACTTCTTATGCAATTATTATGTGTTGACAAGTGAGTCTGCCTGAGCCTTACCTGGTATTTAATTATGATGTCATGTGTGGGATCCACCAGCGTAAAAAATTCAATTGTATATTTTATTTGAATGACTAGACATGTACAAATAGACTTTTGTGTCTCTCTCTCTCTCTCTCTCTCTCACACACACCCCCACACAGAAGTGTAGAGCTACCACCTTCTTGATTCTTGAAACATTTTACAAGTTCAAATATATTTGTCCCAGAGTTGTGAGGAAACTCATTATTGACATGAAAAGGTTTTTTCATATATAGTTTATTTTAAAAACATGATATAAAGCAGGATAAACATATTGTTCTAATTTACATTGACATATTTTTGTAAAGTCTAACTATATAATCTTAAAAATAATATACACAAAACTTTTCATTCAGTAACCAAGTCCCCATTTCTGCATTCCAATCTTCATGAATCCATTGATAACCTGTTGATATCCAGTATCCTGTTGATACTGGCCTACCAGTTCAGGGTTCTGTTTTTTCTCTCACCTGGTTTTATTGCAACAGCCTCCCACCTCCCAGACTACCCTGAAGCCATTCTCTACTTCAGAGGTAACCTTTCTGATGAACAAATCTGACTTTATCTGGTTTTTTTATAAAACTCTTTTGTCTTCCTACTGAGTATTTGCTAATGTGGTGATTTTTTAACTTTCAGTGAATACACACTGAGTGAGTTTATGGTTTTCAAGAGCTAAACTTGCTTGTTGTGTTGTGGTTTATTTTTGAAATAAAACTTTAAAAGATGATAAAATTGTAATGCTAAATCCCCTCAAAGGGAAACTTAGTTCTTTTTTAAAGAATAGTGTCTGTTTTGTATCTTTTCTTGAATCTGAAGACCTGCAGTTTAAAATGTTAAATGTTTTTAAGTATTTTCCTTTTTGAATAACCATAATTCCTCTTACCAATATCTTAAGTTTTTATTTCTAGAAAGGTTATCAGCTGCCAGTTAATAATGAGCCAGCAAGCTACCCTATGGAAAAGTGAGAGAATTTATAGATATCTCCTTCCCTCTCTATTCCTGCTCTCAAAAGAGAAGAGTAGGCTATAAATCAGTGATAAAAAGTTGGTTTGAATCATACTCCCTAATTAACACTTTAACAGGAATTAATCAGAAGGGGTGATTTAGGCAGTACCTAAGCTAAGAGCTGAAATATAGTATGCCTTTTCCTTGTTTGTGCTTACAGCTAGAAGAAAACCAATTAAAAACATTTTTTATCACAGGCAGTGTTTAGCATAGAAGGATTAAAATAGTGTGGCTTGAGTGCATGAGATGCAGGTGGGGGATTCTTGTCCCTATGTTTAAAGACTGCCAATCAGAAGTCAGCCCTGGAGAGAAAAAAGCAGGATATTGTAGAGCAAACTTCAGCCTTAGCTAGGCTCTGCCTCTTGGCTATGTGACCTCGCAAGCAAGTTAATCCAAGTCCACCAAACATTGATTTTATTCATGGGTAGCATAAGGATAGTAATAGGTTACATCTTTCAAGGTCATTATAAGAATTCAGACTATGGTATTTTAAAGTTGTTGTTCTTTAACTCTTAACTACCAAAATTAACAAAATTTGAAGGTCCTTCTGGCCTATCTGATTTTAAATAGAGGAGGAAAGGATAAGGGAGCAAAGGAAAAATTAAAATAGTAAGAAAATATAGGAGAGAAGGAAAATTGTAATGACGAGAAGTGGTTCAATACTACCAGTCAATTGCTATTAATCCAGCTTTACAGATAGTAATAATAATTTTGTCTTCAGAATCGTAAGTTTGACTATCATAGTAAAAGAGTTTAATGCTGCTAACTTAAATGTGTTTACTTTGTTGGAAGATACTTTTATATGTGGTCCACACTAGAGTGATACCTTGTTTATGGCTTGTGGTTATCTGGTCCAAACATGAGCCGAGTTATTCATTACCAACTATGGAAAAAGAAGAATTTGGCCAATTTGGATTGTTTAGCAAATGGATGATAAAGTTACTTATAAATGAATTGCTGTTTATTTATCCTTGCATAACATGTAGTATTTGCCTCCATTAAGAGAATTAATAACCCTTGCTTTAGTCTGTACTTCAGTTAAGGACAAAAAGGGAATTAAATGTTTGGCCCAGTTCCTCGTTTTTAATTGTTAATATTATATTCTAGATAAAAGCTCTAAGAAGTCTGCAAAATTCAAAATGAAGCAATATTTATAAATTTCCTTTTTCTTCTTTTTCTGTTTTTTTTTTTTCTTATTAAGATTGACATCTGGTCCTGAGAACACACTTTTCCACTATGTTGCCTTGGAAACAGTGCAAGGAATCTTTATTACTCCTACCCATGAAGAGGTGGCACAGCTAAGTGGCTCTATTCACCCTCAGCTAATAAAGAATTTCCATCAATGTTGTCTTTCCATTCGCACAATTTTCCAGCACACAGTTATGGAAAAGGTAGGGCACTGCTGTAAATACAGTTTTCTGTTAGCTTAATATCCAGATCTATAAGCATTCTCTCTAATCAATATGTCCAGCAATGTTTTTATTTAATTAGGTTATTTTAACAGTTGCCCAATCTAGCTTGGGTGCCCAAAGAATAGCACCCACAATACTTCAAAGCTTTGTTTCATAATATTGAATTTGAGGTCCTAAATTACTATTTCAGGAAATGGGGAACTAGGGTTTTCTATAGAAAAGCAGTAGAATGTTGTAGTTTGCATTATAAACTTGTGACATCATACAACCAAAAACCTCTCTGAAAATTGTTGTAATATATGTGGTAATGCATGTATTAAGGATGCCAAATTTGGGAAGAACTTGGATTCAAAAGAAGATTGAGCTGGGAATAAGGAATCCTGAACTAAGCTTCAACCCTTCTATTTCCTCAGCTCTAAAGTGAATGGGCTGAATTATGTCATCTCTCAGAACTCATTCAAGAGTAAAATTCTGCCTTATAGATAATTCCTTCAAGTTCTCAGAAGTTGCCGTCTGCAAAAATGTTATATTTGACCATATACTCTTTATGTGCTTTGGGTTCTTATGCTCTTTGCTCCCTATTGAACACAACTGATAGATTCTATAAGGGAATATTTCATCAACTTATTTGGTAATATTTAGTAATAATAAATTAGTCTTACCCATATCATTTAATTATATGGGGTACCTACTTTATACCAAACATCCTAGGAGCTAGGAATACAACAGTGGGCAAAACAGACAAAGTCCCTTCCTTTTTTTTTTTTTTTTTTGTCCCTTTCCTTTTAAAGTTTGTTTTCTAATGAGGCAGACAAATGAATTAGTAAATAGTATCTCAGGAAGGATCAGTGTCAAATTGAATACTAAAATATGGTAAGGATGCGAGGAGTTACTGTTTTAAAAGGTCTCTCAATTAATATTTGAAAAGAAATCTGAATTATGTGAAGAAGCATGCCATGTGTCTATCTGGAGGCAGAGCTTCCAGGAGAGGGGAACACCAAGTGCAAAGCCACAGAGGTAGGGATGGTCAGGAGAGCACTGGAGCAGCCTGAGTATGTAGGAGAGTGGAAAGAGATCGGATCACAAAGGTAGTAGGGCCAGAGCATGCGTGGCCTGACAAACTGTAAGGACTTTGGGCTTGTTCTGAAAAAGATGGAAAGTTCTTTGCACAGTTTTGAGCAGGGGAGGCTCATGATCCTTAATGTTTTAAAGGAGATCACTCATCCTACTATGGGAAGAACAGGCTGTAGGTTAGCAAGAGTTGAGGCAGGGACCTGTTTAGGAGGCTGCTGAAATTCTCAAAGAAGAAATGATTATGGCTTCTGGATTCTTGATATATTTTGGAGGGTGAACCAAAAGGATTTGTTGATACATTGGATGAGGATTATGAAAGAAAGAGAAGAATTAAGGACCACTTCTGTTTTGGCCTGAGTCTTATAAAAAGTCTTTGTATTCTAAATGAGTCATTCTTTTTACTAATGCTTTAATCAGTGATAAATTTAGACATTATGCATGAAAGGAAAGCAGCTTTAAATATGTGTGCTGTAAATTTATGACAGAATTGTCTATTCATTTAGAATACATTTATTATGTATCTGCGATGTACCAGGCACTGGTGATTTAAAAAAATACAAAGATAAATAGTGTATTTTCTCTGTTCTGGAAAAAAAAATGCTTAAAATTTTCTATCTTCTGGGGAAGTCGTACCTACTCAAACTGCTGCTATAATATAATATAAATACTAATAATATAGGACTATGAACAAGAGTGTTTCCTGGAGGAGTTAAGGGACACTTTATCCTTTAGGAGATAGTATTTAATCTAAGTATAAAGGAAAAGTAGAAATTTTCCTACAAGGAAAAAGAAGACTGTCATTATAGGCACTTAAGTATGAGGATCAACCAATTCAAATCAATATATGAAAATATTTTAAAGTAACAACACTATTAATACTAGTTAGTACTAATAATAACTATTAATTTACAGAAAAAGAAAGCACTTAATGGTGAAGGCCATTCAGATTCGGCAAATTCTTTTAACTGTGTGAAAGAACATGGTGTGTTGTTTGAATGCTCACCTGAAAACTGGACTGATCAGAAAAAAGCACCACCAGTTATGGCTTACTGGGTAGTAGGGTAAGTGGGAAAAAAGTATTTCAACATATTGTAAAATGTTAGAAAAGCAAAAGAAAAGTAGTAAAGGAAATTAACATTTTAGAATGTAGGCACAGAATTATTAGTCTAGCTCTAGAATTTTAATATGTTTTAGAATTTCATTTGCTAAATATCTTTTAAATCCCTCCCATTTCTACTAAAATTTTTTTTTCTGTTACTTTACAAATTACATTAGTAATATCACCAAAAGAATAACATCATGGTTTTCCTTCTATTTCTTTCCCTACTTCCTTCTTTTCTTCCCCCTCTCTCTTTGCTTCCTCTGCTCTCTTTCTCCCCTTCCTACCCGTCACCACAACACCAGACCCAGGCAGGTCCCTGCCCATCTCTGTTTTTATGTCCTATCAGCTTCTTCCTCCATACACCATGTACCAGCTACATTGGCACCAATCAAATCTTGTTTCTGCTGTTCCTTCTGTGTGGAATATTCTACCCCTAACCCCTTATTTAATATCTAGCTCCTTGATATTCAAGCTAGTACTAATGGGTCATCTCCTTAGATAGGATCCATGATCTCTCCTACCCACTAAAGTGTTACTTAGTTTTTCTCTATATCAGCCTGTATTATAGTTTATTGTTTATTCCCCCTTTACCAGAATGTGTTCTCCCTTTACTAGAATGTCAGCTTTAAGAGGTCAGGAATTATACCTATCTTGTGTCGGGTACCTGCCATAGTACCTGTCACATAATAGTCAGTTGATAAATATGTGACTGTTTAGTAAAACAAGCATATGGAGTTATCCTTGGCAAACTATGGTGGTGGGTGGATAAGTGGGTGGTATGGCAAGCACAAAGATAAAGACATGGTTATCACCTCCAAAGGTCTTACATCTAGCATTTTTTATATTACGCGCAACTATCTATATATTTATAGATTATTATGTAGGTATATTTTATATAGGTATAAATATGTGGGTATACATATATAAAAAATGAATTAGGTAATACTATGTATACATACAAACAAATGTTATAGGAATTTGGGGAGGAGGGAGTTTAAGCAAAGATTACAAAGAAAGGCTAAGAGCTTTAGATAGACCATTCTAAGAAAAGAGTATAGTATGAACAAAGACCCAAACAGTGGAAATCATGAGGCGTGACAGTGAGTAGATTGGTTTGCCAGGATGTTGGAGAAGTGACATATACAAAGATAAAGTGAAAAACTGAGCTGGAAGCTAATTCAGGCCACTGCAGAGAGCCTACACTGAAAGTTCTTTGAATTAAAATAATATTTGGTGGAGGAAAGGGCACAGAGTTGGGTAGGACTAAGGTTACTAGATACCTACCTTGCAGTATTAAGCTATATGAAAAACACTTTACAAATCTCTTTTGTAAAGAGATTAGAATCACTTGGTTGACTTGTTCAAATCAGAGAACAAGTTTTAATTAAGTGTTTATGTAAAATTAAGAAGTGCATGGGCCCCACTACAGACTTACTAAATCATAATCTATGGGAGTAGTATTTTTAGTAAACTTCCTTGAGATTATGATATGTAACCAATTAGGCTTGGGAGTATCAGCATAAGCTTATCTCCATGTAGTGTGACTAGGGCTGCACTATTGAAACATTAAGCTGGGAGCTACCAATGGAATGCTGGGGCCACAATAGAGACTAGAGATAAAATGACCAGTTAGGCACTGTGCAGGTGTATAGTGGTGCCTTAACTATGTTTGCAACAGTTGGAATAGAAAGAATCAAAAGGCTCTGAATTATCATGATGCAGATCTATATAGAAAAGAAATATAAGTAAGGCAGAACTGTCCCCAGTTTAAATAGTTCAATTTATATATATTAGTATTGATTTAAATAATTAAAAATTTAGTTCTTTAAGAAAACCAAATAAAATTTTAATGTTAATACCAACTCAATACTATCTACAAAAAGAGCTCTCATATTTAATAAAATAAAACATTAGAATGCAAGTGGCAATAAATATTTAATAACTATTGTGCTTTAAATGATGCTTAAAACTGATGATTAAGCATCATAACTACGATACTTCAAATGATGCTAAATACTGTTAGCTTTACTATAATAATGACTGGATTTAATAATTTAATACTGAGCATTTTATGGTAATATATGTTGATAAAATAGGATTTTTATACACTGGAACAATAAAAATAATTGACCTAAGGTATTTATGATTTATTTAGAAATAACTCTACCTGCATTTCTCCTATTATAGATTTAGATTGATGTTTTTAGTTTACTACTGATTCTTTCAGGAAAAAAAAGATAAATTGAAGGATTAGGGTTTTCTTTTTTAATGTTTTTGTTGTCTAATATCTGAAATGAATGTATGTTTTTCTTTTGCAGGAGACTTTTTCTTCATCCAAAACCTCAAGAGCTTTATGTCTGTTTTCATGACTCCGTAACAGAAGTTGCCATTGAAATGGCTTTTAAATTGTTCTTTGGGTTAACCTTGTAGCTGTGTTTTGTTGAAGTACAGAAACACATGCGTAGAACATAAACAAAATTCCTGTTGGAATCATTAGAATTGCCAAGATCAAAACACAGAGAAATAGGATTTAGCTTTCTTTTCACCTTTCAATATTGAACATAATAATATTGTTAAATACATGTATTGAGATGAAATGCTGGTGGAATTCAATCATAATGTAGTATCATTAGACTTTTGAGAAGATACGTGATCAAAATATGAAAGGGGATTCTTAACTTATTGCTATTTTGCTGTATAGTGTTAATTTATTGACTAGTTTGAAATAGTAAGAAGTGTTTATGTAAAATTAATATAGGAAGTGTTTATTTTGGGAAAATGCCCCATTCATTGTTCTTTTTTCTCAAAACTAATAATGATAATCTGGTGGAGGAATAATGAAATTGGGAAGAGGTATCCAGGTTCTATAACTAATTATAGTGTTGACCAAGTTTTATACCTCTTCTGAGCTCAGAGTTTTCATATACAAATGAGATGATAGCATTGAGGTTTCAAAAATCCCTCTTAAATAAAATGTACTATTTTTTTTTCTCTTGCCCATTGGTCAGTTTGTAATGATAAGTACTGATTCCTTATCAAATCAAATACTTTTCAGTAGTTTAAGTACACAGTGGCCGTAAATTTTGTGCACACTATTTTAAGTTACACACGAACTTTATGGTCACCCTATATTTTACTATATGCCTTGCTGTGAAGGAAAAATGAAAATTAAACTTATTTTTTATTTATTTGATTCTATTGACTGTTTCAGATAAACTCAGCTTTGACTAGGATATATTTTTTAAATTATTTATCTATAAATTTTCATTTTTTGTTGTTAAAATATATTCAGGGATACTATGTGCATATTTTATACAGTTCATGAATTTCAGGGAAGTTGTACATAAATCTTTTTTTTTTAAACCAAATCATGTTAAAAACATTGGAAAAGGTTGGCTAAAGAAATCCTATAGTAACTTCTTTTGTAAAATACAAATTTTTGTCTTATAAGTATATATCATTACGTATTAGATTTTCTCAAAGGGGGGACACTTTGGGATACTTCAGTGAACAATAGTTTACTTGTTGGAAAAGAAAAGTAGTAGTATGAGAATTTTCATTGGCTGAGAATTTGGTAGAGAGAAAGGAAGAACATAAATACTGCATTATTACTTGACATTTACCAGCTGATCTTCCTGGAAGTTCAGTGCCTCCAACACTTTACAATACTGGGTGTTTTCTTCTTTAGGACTTAATTTTTGGAAGACAAGTTATACCAGCACATCTAAAATCAGTCTGTACTTTTTCCTGCTTCAAATGTGAGCCATCCAGCTTAGCCAAAAACTAACTACAAAACCTAGCTGGGGCACCATTTGGGTCATTTTGTCTTAAAAGAAACACTTTTATCACTCTGTCATTAGTTTGGGAGATTTTCACGTACACATTTAAGACACAAACCGCATTTGAAGGTGTAGTCCCAGCTACTTGTGAGGTTAAGGTGGGAGGGTTTCTTGAGCCCAGGAGCTCAAGGCTACCCTGGGCAATACAGTGAGACCAAGTTTCTCAAAATAAATAATTTAACAAAACAAAAGAAAGAAAGAGAAGCTTGCTATTGCAACTCCACCTAAAAAGGGAAAGTATATATTCAATTAAAATTATTGAAGAAAAGATTTAATATATGATTATAGCTATTTTTAAAAAAAAAGACACAAGCCACGGCATATTTGTCCCATTAGTGATTAGTGGGCCTTAACTTTGGCATTCACATGAGGATAATAAACCTTGGTTCTTGAAATGTTGTAGAAAATAGCATGAAATATCCTCCCCTTAAAAATCACAATATTGAGTCAAATGATAAGGCTCCTAGCCACAGATGGCTGCTTATGTACATATCTGTATTACATATCTGTATTGAGGCATTTTGTTTAAAATCATTTATTAAATGTCTTGTTTCTGGATATGTCCCTCAAGGTACCATGAGCTACTTCTAATACTGATAATTATTAATAAATGCAGTTATTGATTACTACAGGCTTTCAGACAGCCTTAACTAGGGCTTAGGGTTTTATCACTGGAGACTTTTTTTGTTTCATCTTTTGAAATTGTGATCTGTTGAACTGCTTTCCTGATGTCAAAGAATCATGAGGGCATCACTCAACAATTGAAATAAAAGGCAAAACATATACTGCTGATGTTAATCAAGGGAAAACCATTTGCTGTATTGTAGATGTGCACTATAACTTCCATGTTGTAAAAGCACTATATTTTTAAGAAATAAAACCAAACATTATCTTGTTTTTATCCTAAATAGATACTTAAGTAAGCATTACAGGTAAACTTAGCTGCCTGTTTTAACAATATGTTCAGATTCACATCTGAAATTAGATCAATCTGATAATTGGATAATAAAGTACCTGTGACTTTATTAAATAAAGGGGAACAAAGTTAACAGTGCAGATACCACACAGGTACACTTTAGTGGACTCGAAACATTAAGTGAGATTTATTAGTATCATGCAAATGTACCCTACCACCAAAGACTATTAATAAACTATACAACTAGCATTTTTAATTATCAAATATTGTCTTATCATCTTTTAGCCCTCCAAAATGCATTTTAGATTCTTTCTCACTTTACTTCTCCCTTCTCTCTCCATCCCCTTTCTTTAGCTCTTTTTTATGTTTGTCATGTCAGAGAAACTGTACTTAGCAAGGGAATATTTCTTATTTGTGCTAAGGGACTATTGATGACAATACATAATAGCAAGATAGTAATTTTGCAGTGCCTACCTTTTTAAAATATTTCTGATATAAATGGGCAAAGGTATGAACTAATTTACTAGGTTTTTCTGCTTTGAATATTATTTGTTTTGTGTTGTCTCCAAATAGTGGCTGGCACATATTATGTGCTATAAAAGATTAGCTACTACTACTACTACCATTTACTATATTAAATACCCATTGGTTGAAAACCAAGGAGTCAGGTAAATCATACCTGCTACTGTACAAAATGTAGGAAAGATGATGAGAAAAATTCATTAATAAACAAGGATTTATACTTTGGATACTTTTAAGTATATTATTAAATGTTACTAAAACTTTATATATCAAACTGTCTGAAATAATTTAATTTTGCAGAGTTGTATTTCTATGTTCTATATAATTAGAGCTATTTTTATACTATGAGTTAGTTTTAAATAAAAATGTTCTGGAGGTTTGTTTGCAATTGTGTTTCCTTTCTATGCGCTCATCTGACAAAAATTTATTGAATCTCTACCTTGTGCTGAACACTGTTCTGGATGCTGAGAACATACCAGGGAACAAAAAAGCTAAAAATTCTTGCTCTTAAGAAGTTTGTGTTCCAATGTTAGAGGCAGGCCACAGACAAGATAAGTGAAATGTGTTGCTAAATGCTACGAGAAAAAATAGTGAAGCAAGAAAAAGGGATAGGAAATGTGGCAGATGGGGAAACCAGGAAAAGGGTTGCTCAGGTGACCCCACACCCAAAGAAAGTGAAGAAAGTAACCAAGCTGATTTCTAAGAAGAGTAAACAGTACAATGGTCCTAAGACTCTATACTTTCAATATTAATATAAATCACTAGAACTTTTTTCCCTTTCCTAATTTAGTAAATAAAAGTCAATAAATTCAGCATTTTCAGCTTCAATCTATTAAAAAGTATTGATTCGGTGCTCTTAAGACAAAAAAGCGACATGCAAAGTAGGTACTTTCACTTTTGTCTGTCTTCTATTAATAAATACATATCAGAGATAAGCTTAGTATCCTAAAGGAATATGCTATAAACATTGTCAACTATCAGTTCAAATGTCTGAAAGGGGAAGAGTGGGAGAGGAAAAGAAAATTGCCCTGGGAGACACAGAACACTTCTTTTTCTATCCTCTGAGATACTTATATTTCCTGTGACCAGAGACAGTTCTTTAACTTAAACCTTCTTTGGCATCTTAAAAAAGTATTACCTGGAGTGTGATTCAAGAAATTTTCTCTTCACTTTCTTCCTATGTGCCTGTTAATGCTTTTGGATTCCCTTAAAGGAGACTGAAACTTTTCATTTTTCAGATTTTTTTCTAATAAATGGCCAATTATTTCTTGAATTTACAATGAATTTCAATAAGGAGACTTTTATAGGCCTAGAAATACAATTAATGCAATTCTTTCAGAAAGGTTAATCTAGCAGCAGTATGTCAACTGGAAAGAGGGAGTGAGACCCACTTAAGAGTTAAATAAGCTGCTATGGAAAGGAAGTGGGCACCAAACATGATACCAGTAGGACTTGCCACCTGGTTTTATGTAAAGCAATCAAAATATTAACAACATTCCTGGTTTGGAATCCCTCTGGCCTAAATGGTTTTTATTAGTCACAAGTAATATTAGAAAGGTTAGTAACATGTTTAATGAAAAAATCAGAACCTAAAATTCAAAATAAAACTAAACCTCATCTCACATTTTTGTTGTTGTTTTTGAGACAGAGTCTCAAGCTGTCACCCTTGGTACAGTGCCATAGGTGTCACAGCTCACAGCAACCTCAAACTCTTGGGCTTAAGCAATTCTCTTGCCTCAGCCTCCTAAGTAGCTGGGAATACAGGCACCTGCCACAACGCCCGACTATTTGTTGTTGTTGCAATTGTTATTGTTGTTTTAGCTGGCCCCAGCCAGTTTCAAACCTGCCTGCCTTGGTGCATGTGGCCAGCGCCCTACCCACTGAGCTATGGGTGCTGCCCTCACCTCACATTTTATAGATGTGTTCCAGGCTCTTCATGTCCTACAAAGTAAGAAATGGTTAAAAAGGGATCTCTAGCTGGGCGTTGTGGTGGGTGCCTGTAATCCCAGCTACTTGGGAGGCTGAGGCAGGAGAATCGCCTAAGCCCAGGAGTTGGAGGTTGCTGTGAGCTGCATGATGCCATGGCACTCTACCAAGGTCAATAAAGTGAGACTGTCTCAAAAAAAAAAAAAAAAAGGATCTCCATTTACTAAAAACCATCAAACAAGCTATAAAAAGGAATCAGGAATAGATGATATACTACTATATATCCTGGAGAAGGACCTCCAAAGAAGGATATACTAAGTGAAAAGGAAAAAGCAAAAGAAAGAGACATTTTATGTACAGGACAGATGTACCTCTACTGTGTATTCTTGCCAAAAAAGGTCAAACCTGAATGTGATACCAGCCTCTATGTGAGTTCTCAAGGTGCAGTATGGATAAGGTGACCATATTTTAACATTGGTAAAGTGGGACACCATTGACGGGGACGGGGGGAAGTTCTTAATTAAAAATGTGGTCTATGTGGAGCAACAAAAATTTTCATAGAACACAAAAATAGTATTGTAATATATTTTTTTAATTTCAACATAAGTATAATTTACAAATATATGTTAAAAAATTATGTATAGTATTATTTTATTCTTTGGCATATTTCTCATTTGAGTGAATTTTTTTTAGTAGATTGCTGTCTAAAAGGTCATGAAATTTTTCACAAGAATTTTTTAAATTATATTTCACACATAAAATGGCTTTCAAAGTCTCAGCACTTAATTGTGATTTTTCTGATGTCCACACTTTATTTACCGTAGAAAATAACGCATTCAGTCGCAGCATTAGTTCCTGGTAAGGACAGCACGTATCCCACAATTTTTAGTGCATTATTGTATGGAACATGGTTTGTTTCAAAATGATGAAATATTTCTAACCATTTTTTTCTCTATTGTGATTTTTGCTGATGCCCAAGTTTTAATCTTTTCCTTATCAATATATATTTTTAATAATGGTATCTCATAAGTCGTGTCACTTTCAAGGCCAGCATTAGACTTTTTGCTGCCACTGTAAAATATAAATAATATGAGTACTGTCTGCTAAATTCATGAAATAAATAAATAAATAAATTACCTAAATTATCTGAATAGCTGATTTGTTGACATCACTTATTTAACTAGCACTAGCACGCAGTATGATGTGTATCATCTGACAGTTACAAAATGTTTTTGTACTTGCAAATGCCAAAAAATGCCATTGTTCATTAAGTCAAACAATGGTGGTCGAATTCTAACAATTGATCAACAATGTGAACTTTGATAATCAGTTCTCAATAATTAGTTCTCAACAATTATTTGTTATTATTAAAGTTTAACATTATAAAATTTACAAAAATAATATAAAACTCATATCTTGGCGAAATAGCCACATGGCAGCCAAAAACCTTATATTCCTTTCCTGTTCTCCCGCCATTCTCTAGCTTGTTGTGCATTCTTTCCAAAAATCGGGACTTTTTAAAAAACGCCAGGGGGTGGGGGAGAAATCGTTAAAACTCGGGACTGTCCCACCAAAATTGGGATGTCTGGTCACCTTAGTTTGCAGCCGCTGCCTGTCCTGCTTAACAGCCATCTAGCTCCCACAACAGCCTGAAGGACAGTAAACTGGCTCCCTGTTTAAAAAGTTTGAGGACCCCTATGACTTAAATGAATATTTTTAAGCTTTGTTTTAATTTTTGCTATGGTAAATGTCTATATATAAAAGAAAAATAGAAGCTTCACTGTATCTTCAATAATTTTTAAGAGTAATAAAAGAGATTCTGCAATTAAAAAGTTTGTGTCATTGGTTCTCAACCCTGCACACTAGAAATACCTGGAGAATTTATGTAGTTTTCTTTCCTTTTTTTTTTTTTGGCTGGGGCCGGGTTTGAACCCACCACCTCCGGTATATGGAGCCAGCGCCCTACTCCTTTGAGCCACAGGCGCTGCCCTACCTGGAGAATTTAAATATTGATTTCCCTACTTCCAGAAGTTCTACTAAAATAGTTACGGCCTAATCCCAAGCATAAAAAACAAAACAAAACACAAAAAACCCACCACCATCTCCATCCCTTTCGAATGTGCAGTCCGGATCAAGAACCACTGCTCTAGACAGAATTATCGTTTAAATACAATAAATTATCATTTTTACATGTTGAATTATGCTATGGGGGGGCGCAATCAGCAAAGACAATTGAGAAAGTGACTTACAAAAGATCCAGGCTTAAAGGACTAGATTAAATCGATTTCTAAGAGTAACGGGATAACCCTGGGAACTAAAATTCGTATAATCCCACACAATTGGCCTACTGCTGGCCCTAGTTTGGCCTCTAAATTTCCAGAAATTGAAACTGGCTCTCATGGGTCCCCTTCTCTACCTTTCCCTCGCAGGTAAGCCAGGGCATAGCCTTGCTACGGCTGAACAGAGCCACTGCCGCGTGTCGGGAGTCACGTGTCAGGAGCCGGCGGCTGGAGGCCGTTGGAGGCGCCTGCGCAGCTTTTCTCTCAGACCCCGCCCTGCACGCTTATCTCCCGTGGTCCTGAGCGCCACTTTCCCGCCAGGACAACGCTGGAAGCGGTTTTCCTCCCTTCATCGTCGCCCTCCTCTCGGTTTGAGCCGTGGGTGCCAATTTTTACGTCCATCACCCAATCATGCAGCGTGAGCCTGGGAAGAAGAAGGTGGACAAGCGGCTGTTTGACGCCAAGTCCTTCGGAAAGGATCTCCTGGCCGGCGGGGTCGCGGCGGCTGTGTCCAAGACGGCGGTGGCACCCATCGAGCGGGTGAAGCTCCTGCTGCAGGTGCAGGCCTCGTCAAAGCAGATCAGCCCCGAAGCTCGGTACAAAGGCATGGTGGACTGTCTGGTGCGGATTCCCCGTGAGCAGGGTACGTAAGGCGTGCTCCCACCGCTCCAGCCTTTCCCGGTTCCTGGTCAGCTTCTTAGAGAAGGGGGGTCGTGGGAAGGGGGATGACTGCCGGCGCCACACAGCCTCGTCTGCCAGTGATGAATTTCTTAGCCTTCCATAATTTAGTTTCTTAATCTAAAAAGCTCTGCATTCCTATGGCCAAAAAAGAAAAAAAAAAAAAAAAGAAGCCTACACATGTTCTGGTGCAGAGGGACAGAAACTAGTGTGGTGCCTTTTCTTTCTCTAAATTTCTCTGCTGCAGCATGGTTTATGCCTTGGTGCATTTGCACCTTTCCCAGAAGAAATGCGGTTTTCCCCTCAGGATTGGGGGAGATGACATTAGGCATTCTAGTTAAGTTGCGTAGATGTTTGTTGAAATAGTCTGCTTATGAGAAGTACAAATACTGAAGAAGCTTTGGACTCCCTCAGTACTCTACCACCTTTTAGTAAAAAAAGGTTCTATTTACTTTTGAGAACTATTGGGGACCAGAGTTGAGACTAAGAAAGCATTCACCTCTGCATGAAATTTAAGGGAAATAAACAGTATTTTAATGCAGTCTTTTTTTAAAAAATGACAAAGTCCATAACGAACAAAATGTAAAAACTTTACATAAGTATGAGATCAGTATTACCAGTTTTCTTTTTGCATCAGGCCCTGTCTTTATTTAAAATTTTACGTTTTACAGTTTTAGCAAAAAAAGTTAAAAAGAAAAAAATAAAATTTTATTTTTGTTCACCATGATTTTTCTCATGAATACTGAAATATTTGAGGGAATAATGTGTTTTATGACCCATTCCTGCGAGTGGAATGGCTCTCAAGTTAGCTAAGGGGATAAGTTTATCAGAATTTATATAATCACTCATATAGTTGGAGTCAATTGAAAAATCTCTACAAACTTCAAAAAAGAAATCGATTTATTTATTGTGTGTTCTGAACATGAAATGAAGTGCCTTCAGCTCCGGTGCAGTTCCTTCTTCCACTCATAAGTCTAGGGTAGAATACTCTACCATAAAAACCACATCTTTTCAGAGATGTGGTTACAACTCTTCCTGACATGTTGAGTGAGGTGTATGGGGTCAGGGGTAGAATCTTAATGCATCATCTAAACTGCGTTTGGAATGTCTGTCTGGGAGCTGAACCCAGATACTTCGTAGTTCACTTCCCCCCATTCCCGTTCATTTTTTTCAAAGCAAGATTCCCATTTCCCACAAGATTTTTGTGAGAAAAGCAGGAACCTGTCTTTGGTTTATATTGTAAGCCATCTCCAGAGAAGTAGGGGCTTCTGTATTATTAGTTTATCTGCTTTAAATATTTAGTCAGGTAAAATGAACTTTTGCTAAATTGTGATGACCAGTGCAAATTTATATTTTAAATGTGTTTTGCAATATTTAAACCTAAACATATTCAATACATATTTTGTAAATTGAGATCATTCTGATCTCTGCTTTTTTTACCTTTCAAGATGAGACTATCATAAACAGAACTCTAAAGGTGTTTTCTACTCTTCTGAACAAGGGATTATGAGTACACTGTAGTGTAGCCTCTGCTAAGGGATCAGTAATTCACAACAGGATAGTATTGCCATCTAGAGGCATTTTGGAAACTTGTGGAGGAATTTTTGGTTTAATTCAAAGAAGTGTAATCCTAAATTGCTGTGATACACAAGGCAAGCAGTATACTAAATATCCTGCTGTTGTACTCAGGTCAGTCCTACACAATAAAGACCTTGCAATTTGATGACTTAGATCTTTCAGTGGATATTCATGTAGCAGTAAAACATAGAAACCTAAAACCTAACTCTGATTTGCTTATAAACACAAACTAGGGTTTACCTTTATTATACCCTGATTCCAGTAATGCATCTAACATGTAAGGAAGTAGAGGGTAAATTGTACTTTCTTTTTGTTTAGAAGTTTACTAAGAGTTATTCATCATTGTGAAAATTCATGTCAGCAATTCAGGGTATTTGATTACCACTTACCCAGATTGAATATCACTTTATCTGAAATGCCTGGGACCAAAGATGTTTTGGATTTCAGTTTTTCTTGTTTTTTGTTTTTTTAATCTTTGTATTATATTTATTGTTTGAGCATCACTAATCTGAAATTCAAATGCTCCAATGACTGTTTCCTTTGAGCATCAGTGTCAGTGCTCAAAATATTTTGGATTTTGAATTTGAGGATTAGGGACACTCAACCTATATCATCTGTACCAGTTCTTCTTTGTATGTTTGGTAGAATTCAACTCCAGGTCCAGGGCTTTTTTTTTTTTTTTAATGGGAGATTTTTAATTATTGCTTCAATCTGGCTACTTGTTATTGATCTGTTCAGGATTTATACTTTTTTTT